CGCCCTGAAGCCGAAAGACTTTGAAAACGTCGTCCTCTACTTTTATAGTTTTCAACAACGGGCGGTTGCTGTCCATTTGAAACTTAGATTCATTGTTTTAACCCTATCGCTCCAGGTATCTTTTACTGTGCATCACACAGGGTTTTAGTGTCTTACATTCTAAATTTTATTAAACTACTTTTTATTTATGTTATACTAATTAGAATAGCATACAATCATAGCTAATAACCAACATCTTAATAGTATACAAGTTTTAAGTTCTTAATTCTAAAATGCAATGTTTAAAAAATCCTGAAGTTCCACTAGTGTGACTCACATGATACATTTTTTCTTAGCATGACATCATCCATATTTTATCCACCACCCCTCGAAAATGTATGAAATTAAACATAAATTACTTGCTATAAAATCATTACTGCTCAGACAAACCATAATTTTTTCAGTCTTCAATTTTATTTGGTTTCAGAGCTATCGAATAGAAAATAACAACCCTCCTGCCACATCCTCTCTTTCACAATTAGTTGACAGTTCTCTCTTACGTTTCATTATATATTACCTATAACCAATAGAAAGTCAAGGTTTTCATCTTTCAAATGACGTATTGTATAACGTTGTATTCTGAACAGAATATCATCAATTTCACTCAGAGTACCAACATCGTTCCCGAGGGAAAGTTAATGACTAGCTCGGATGAATCTTTAACGGCTCTTGTCGCATAGTTAGAAAACCAGGAAAATTTTGAGAGGTAAATGAATTTGTCTACTTTTTGCATGTTATTAGTTTATATTCTTTGGTGCATTATTTAATTAAATAAAAATTATTAAGTGCATTACTATCTATAGTATAAAAAATTAAGGTTAACTGTCTTTGAAACCCGATAGCAAGAAAAAATAAGATTAGGTAAGTACTTTATTTCATGTTTTTCATATTTATTCTTTACTTATTATTGTAAAAGTAACTAAAATCTAAAAATACGGATCTTTTTAAGTTACTTAAGACTAGATTAGGTAAAATAAGTAATAATAATAATAATAATAATATAATTAAAATGGTTTACGAAGTATGCACACGAGCAGCTTGTGGGTAATGTAATTCGTAATGTGAGCTGCACCTTCCTCGAGTGATTTACAACTTATAATGGCACAAAGGTTAATTTAGGTTTATTTTGATTTTTTTTTTGGGTGGTTACGAGGTTGGTCGAATTGACTGATCCAGTTTTGAGATAGGGTAGAGAAAATAACAGATAAGCTTTAAAGTTTTACTGAAAAAAGACGTTTCAAATGCATTTAGGATGTTTTAGGATTACACTATGGAAATTTGAAATTTTTTGATGAGGAAAAGTATTTTAAATTTTAACATGAAAATTACTTTGCACACGGACTATTCAAAACAAATACTTCAGTAAGCTTAAAATATGAGTTTTTGTATGTGAAAGACTTGTAATATTAACTGACAGACTGCCAAATTTCGTGAAGATATATCCACTATTTAAGAGTTATAAGTATTAAATCTATAAAGACTTTAAACGAGTACAAGAAGGTCACGTGGTTGGTCAAATTGACCGAGCCCGTATTGTTCACTGCTACCTGTTCACTGCGGGAATCAAACCCTGAGCCAAAAGCGATCACCGTAAGTAAGAAAATCCAAACCACTTTTAATCAAGAAACAAAGTTTCAAGATGTATAAGCTCTCACCAGAGCAACTTAGTTTTTGGAAAAAATTAATAAATCTCTCTAAACTACTTTTATTATTCCAGCTATAATAAAGTTTGTGAAACTAACCAATAACAGGTAAGTTTGATGGAAGTAAACTTTCTAGTCCTAAGATTTCTCTATCATTTATGTCCAGATTAGTCTCCTGACACAAGGTCAGAAGACATTCTTCCAAGATGTGAGCGGTAACAGTCTTCGAAGATCCATCATCACAAACACCCACATCATTTTCTTTGTTTTCTTTATCTGCTTCTTCCTAGTGTAAAAATAACAAGACTATGTTATAAAGATAACAAATAAAATAAGAAATCACACAACTGCCAAGGCAAGGTATGTGACAATAAGAAAAGATTCCAAGACTTACAAGAGAAAATTAACAGAAACAAGAGTTTATGATTCACAAAGGTATAGAAGGAAAACAGTAAAAAAATTTTAAACTTTACAACAGTTGTCAATGCACCATATAACCTCTTATAACTTCCATCTTAAAATATATCCTATCGGGTTATCAGACTTCTTGTTTGGTTTGGTTGGAATTTTGTGAAAAGCCACACGAGGGCTATCTGTGCTAGCCGTCCCTAATTTATCAGTGTAAGACTAGAGGGAAGACAGATAGTCATCACTACCCACCGCCAACTATTGGGCTACTCTTTTACCAACAAATAGTGGGATTGACCAGCACATTACAATGTCCCCACAGTTGAAAGGGCAAGCATGTTTTGTGGAACGGGGATCCGAACCTGCGACCCTCATACTCGGAGTCAAGTGCCCTAATCACCTGGCCATATCAGGCCTGAACTTCTCGTTATAAATAAGATTCAATATTCTTAATGATATATCCGACAAATATTTTTCATGGAGAATATTTGCATAAACGTAAAGAAAAAATTACACGTGTTTTAAGCTTACTTCTAAATATGTTGAAAAATATAACATTGTTTCCAATATATTAATACAATACTTGTGTAAGCATAAAAAAAAATGTTTTAAATAGTTTTAAATGATTCTTTGAGATTGTTTAGACAGAGTGTTCATGATGAAACTAAGCTGAATGGACAGTAACTGCCTGTTCTAGAAACATAAGTGTAGAGGATGACATTTTGAAAGTCGTCCACCTTTCATCTTCAGTTTTAAACGATCATGTTCAAAATATTATAGTTTTTCCACTACATTAATAAAATCTCTTTTCATAATGATTTTAGCCAGATACAATCACAAACTGAACCCTAAAAAATATTACATTTTTGAAACATATTGAAATATATTAGCAATAAAAAACATAGCCTACTATAGATATCAAGAACTACACTCCTAAAATACATATATAACAGTTTCTAAAAATACTCACCCAATGACAGATATCAAGAACTACACTAAAAAAAAAAACACACGTAACAGTTTCTAAAAATACTCAACCTATAAAAGATTTTTATAATTACACCTCTAACATACACATGAAACATCTAAATAAACTCAACCAACTACAGATAAAGATTACACTTTAAAAATACACACACGTTGCAGGCACAGAAATACTCAACCAAGGTACAAAAAATAATGCTTCTAAAATACACATGTAAGAGCTTTTAAAAATGCTCAAACTACTACATGTAACAGGGGTTAAATTTCTGTAATACAAATATACCAGCAATAAATATGTACTCAGCCCAATAAAGCTATTAAAAACTTTAATCTAAAGAGTTAAATCCTGAAACACTAATGCAAAGGTTGAGTATATTAAAAACAATTTTGGAACTTCGTGCCTGACTCTGCTTTATATAATACATAGTTTCCATTGCAAAGGCTTCATTATAATGCTGTCATGTTCAGAATGTAATCTTCTTCCCTCATGCTTTCCATGATCCATCCAGTGTACGAGGACAACAGTTTCACAACACCCATTTCAACAGTCCAATCACACAGACACTATATCCAGTAACTTAATGCCATTAAATAACATTAAACTGGTTTTAGTTTCAATTGCATCCTTCATTCAAACAGGTAAACAAAATCAAAAGGAATAAAAAAAACTAACCATAATTAGGTCAGCATGACTAGCAAAACATCATAGATTCCATCTTGTTTTAAACTCATCCAAAGTGACATTTAAGTACTAAGTCATGGTATTGAAATGTTTATTCAGTAACATCTGGTAAATAAGTACTTTATTTTCTAGTCAGACTGGGATATGATCAAGATGTTAACATGAAAAAAATCTACAATTCTAACATAAAATGTAAATACTATATTCATCATTTTGAGGTGTGCTATTAATTGCACACCCAAACTTGAAGTAAAAATCATAAGGTCTGAAATGCATCTTTATGTACAGAGTGTATGAATATTTTGCATCAGAAAGTGCTCTTACATAACCTTTCCACATGTGATCAACATGACAACCAATATCAAAATGTAGTTGAGATGCGTGACATTTCTCCACAACTGTGGTTTTCCTGTGACTCGTTGATTTCCATAATCAAAGTTATTTTAATATACCATTAAAACTCAACTTACAACAGACATAAAAATTTAAATCTTGAAACACTGATATACTAGTAAAAATACTTATTCAACTTACATCGAATCTACAAATTATAATCATAAAAATGCAGTACAAAAAAAGCTTATTCAAGTCACAATATAATTATATCAACAGTATTATTTCTGGCAAGTTTTACTTTATAAACAAATCAAACATTGTTAAATGCTTAAGATATTCTGGCAACATAAATGTTCAAATATAAGATATGATTCTTTCTTTTTCAAAAATAACTCAGGAAAAACAGTAACATCAATTTATATAAACACACCTGTAGATTGAGTTGTTCAACGAAGGAAGGAAACTGTTTAAGAAGAGAACGAGCCAGCTCGGTTCCTCCCAAAACAGAAACCAGCTTTCTAGTAGTTGCATGTGCCTGTTGTCGCAGTTCAAGAGATGGTCTTGTCATTAAGAATAGCAACGCTTTTTCAACAAGGCTAGAAAGAGAAAGAAGTCGGTGTTGATGAATTAAGCATCACCGATAAAGGAAGAAAGTGATAATCTAGCCAAAAATTCTTTGGATAAAAATATCAAAAAAATAGAATCAGAAAAGAAACCCAATAAACCCTGAGCACTTTTGGGAAGCACACTTTCTGTTAGCATGCTCAGGTTATTTTCTTTTCTGATGTTAACTTTTTTCTGTTGATCCTGCATGCTTTTGAATATTAAAAAAAAAAAAGCATTTTATAAAACTACCAGTTTTTAAGACCACCAGAAAATGCACGTTAACATTTTCTTAAACTGAAAATGTATTTCCGATAGATACTTACCTCCTCTCACCAAAAGCTTTCTCGACTTATACTGCCCTCTATTGGTGCAAATTTTCACTTGCCACTAGCCTTGATATTCCCATTTATTTCTGCGTACTAACATGCAAATTATTAGCAAGCTTCCAACAATAGAAGTGCGACACTACCCCTATAATAATTAGCACTACAAGATTGGTTAGACCACACCAGATGTAGGGAGGACGAATGGGAAATATGAGCATAGTTAAGTATCTATCAGAAATGCATTTTCAGCTTAAGAAAATGTTAACTTCCGATACAATATCTTAACCTCTGCTTACAAAAAGCTAAAATCCCACATTGAAAAGGTGGAGGGCCAGTGAGAAAATGACCCCCCCTTTAGGAAATGCCCAAAGGAAAACCATGGGGTGTGAGAAGGGACTAAAAAGAACACACCTGTGGGAGACCGCACCACTTCTAAACCAGGTATACTCTTTGCCTGGTAGTAATATGTCACCAAAAGAGCAGAAACAAAGGAGGGATCTCAAGAAAACTTATGGAAATAATGGGATCCCTTGGTGTAGAGTGGCTAGGACATGACAGACCATAATTGTACATCAGTTCCGCATTAGGAAGAGGGTCCTCTACCTTTCACCTCAAGAATGGGTACTGGCAGAGAAGAGGAACTACCATACCAAGAACCTGTCTCCACAGACATGCACCTCCAATACCAGATCCACCGGGAACCCGAAATCCAGAAGGTAGAAAGATGGTCGATTATATGGGGTGCATATACAGTCCAAAACCTAGTGTCATTGGGAATGTATCATCCAATCCACAGTAGGAGTAGGGTAACCATCCAAACACATGAGGACTTAGGTGGCTAGGCCGGTTCTAACCGACACCAGATCCACCAAAAGGGCGAAAACAAAGGAGGGACCCCAAGAAAAAGAAACAGGGATGGGTAGGTGAGATAAACAAGAGCCCAAAGATGATATTTTAATAAAAACATATCTACTCAATAAGACTGCCAATCGAGAATTAGATAACACCTACAAGGTTAGAGAGGGCGTTAATTAAAATAGAATTAGGGTCGCACTCCTATTGGTGAAGAGTTGCTGCATAATCATTTACATGTTAGTAAGCAAATATCTCACATTAACATATATGAGGGTACGTGGGAATATCCATGCTCGTGGTGAGCAAAAATTTGTGCCAGTAGAGGGCATTATAAGTCAAGAAACATTTTTTGTGAAAGGAGGTGAGATATCGTATCGGAATATTTATTTTCACCAGCAATTCAGTTTTAGCAAAAAGTTAATTCGATCCATACTATTTCTAAAAACATTAGACTCAACATCTATCGGTAAAGCCTCACCTAATTTTACCCACCAGCTCCTGACTATGCTCCAGAATCAATCTTTCAACCAGCTGGATTACAGAGTAGAGTGCTGAAAAATACATTGTCAGATTTCTTTATTACTACTGGCCACAAAGTTTTACTGCTTGTTCAGGCTTATTGCAGACATTTTATTACAACAATTATTATTACATTTTATTACGGATAGTTTACTATACTTCATGTTATCAATTATCATTGATAATTATCAGTATTACCTGAAACTTTATGGTCAGGTAATACTGGGTTTAAACATCAAACTTTATGGTCAGGTAATACTGGGTTTAAACATCAAACTTTATGGTGATGTTTAAACCCAGTATCAAACTTTATGGTCAGGTAATACTGAGTTTAAACATCAAACTTTATGGTCAGGTAATACTGGGTTTAAACATCAAACTTTATGGTCAGGTAATATTTAAGCTCATTAACACTGAACAACATTATTACTCAATACTTGTACTGACACTACGAGATGTTTCTTCTTTATAATTTCATTATAAATTATACCAATGTACATTACAGACCAAACTAAGGCTCTGATGGCTCAGTTCTTCAGAAGATCATGTTACAACATCAGTAAGTTTTCTCTCTTAATAAACATTTTAAATAACTATTGTTCAGAGTTTTCCGTAATGTCGTTTTCTGCTGAATCATAAACCAACTACACCTGTTCACAGACTTCTGTATTTGATACAAAATAAACACGTGAGAAAGAAAGAAAACAGATAGTCTTCTAGAATAAGATAACTATGTTATCAGATACTTTAAATGAAAGTTCTTACTTTCTTCACTAGCTGTAATCAGGAACTTCTCAATAAAAAAAGGTTGTTTGTCGATGTCCAACAAGGCAGTAATAACAGATTTCAGTTTGTTTTCTAGACAGAAAAAAAAACAAATAAAATTTATTACAACGCAACTTGAACACTGACCTTAACCACATTTCTGTATACTATAACTTCTATAGTTGTACTAAGAAATTCAGTTCTAAACATAATGTTGCTAGTTTAAAAGTTAACATTTTCCTAAATTGCCAGGGTTTCTTCTTTGCCCATCTAAGAATTAATCTGATTTTTTCTCACTTGCTCAAGTCTTTCATACTTTGGCAATATTTGTCTCATGATACTCTCTACCTACGTCAATGCACCTCATTCAGACAATTTTATCACTTCGTTGAGACTGGTACCATCCCAGTCTCTAACACCGGATTTTAGTGGGGAGGAAAGGTTCCTATTCTATAGCATTGATCAGGATAGGAGAGAGATGAGATGAAAAATAAAAAAACCCCCAGAATGATGACATATTGAATTGGAGCAAGAATAGATGTTGCAGTCCTGAAAGAG